ATCGATTCCAACTGCATTTCACGATGCTCGATGACTCTTCTACGAGTGTGATATTGTTTGATTTTCCATCCGAACACGCTGACTGACACCACGAGAAAAAACGCAGAGAAGAAGACGGAGAAGAACACGAATAAGTCGATCTGAGACAAGTCCTGTCTGAAGTACACCAGGCCTTTTGTGCCGGGCTTACTTCGGCCCACAAACACCATATAGAACCTAGTGAGAAGAGAATACACTTCTTTAGCAAAGAAAACGAACACGCATAGAGATTACATTGAAGCAAATACACTGATTAAAGAGTTGATTAAAGGTACCCTTAAAACCACACACTCGGGTTCCAGGACTGTTTTTTGTTTGAGGACTGTTTACCCCCTTTCTCACTGCTCCGAACCGCGGTCTATATGACATAATTATCCAATATAATTATGAAATTGTAGCGAATCGTAATAAAGAGTTTTACATTTGATTTCGAGAACGACGTTAAACTTAATGGTTTTGTGCGTGTTTCAATTAAAAAAAGACACCCCGGAAAGCTTCATTTTTACTTTTCTTCACCAAAAAAGTTAGTACGGTTATTTAAACGGAAGTAGGTTAAACCCTCTCCCGATAGCAAAATGATAAAACGTCTTACATTTGATAACTTGTTCACGGCACCACGACATTCTCGCTAAAACTCGTAGTAGAATGACGACGACTACCACGTTTTCCCGCCAAAATGACGCTGGCTCACACATGAGTAACACTCAGTATCGGGAAAATCTCGTAATCGTAGTCGTCCTCGTCTCAGAATCTCAAGCTCTCTAATAACCGAGCGCTTGGCACAAAGAGCTCAGTCATGAAAATCGGTTTATCGATAAACGGATGCTATCACGCAACTCTCGAAGTGAAAGAGTTAAAGCAAACCAAACTATAAAAGAAATAATCACGGCGAAACTCCCTTAAACAGCTTTTTCGAAAAAGGTTGTCGAAAAAAATGGTCTGGAATCGGGTAGGGTTTTTTGAGGTAACTACTGGAGTGTATGATCGTATTTGTAGATTCAATCCTAAGTGAATGAGAAAGAAAGAGTGATATGCGAATTCAAAACGGATTTTAAGAAAGCTTTTGTTGGCGTTCTAATCTAAATACTGACATGATTTCCTCCTATGTAAAACATGCACGTCGCAAATTGTGAGCTTCTCCAGGTCTGAAAACGGATAAGGATTTTGCTGGCCAGGTCTGAAAAAAGGTGTGGAAAATGACATTTTTTGGTCTAAACTAGGGTCAGGATTTGGGGACCCTAACCCTAACCGGGCGGCACACCCCCAGCGAGAATTCCCCGGAGTAGTCCTCCCCCGGGGGGAAATCACATAGTGTGCTAGCTAACCTGTCGTCTTTAAGAAAATGCTGACTGTGTGGAAAAGTCAGTACCAGACGCTTGCGGACCTGGCGTACAATAAGCGCTTGGTGTCCTTCATTATAGGTGATGAATGTGTTAAGGCGCTTGTCTGATGCGGTTACTGTGTCAACTTCTTCATCTTGACCGCTGGTGTCGTCTACGCTTCTTCTTTTTCTTTTGCTAATAGAAAAAGTGACAGACTGGGAAATTAATTCCAAACCTTTTACATTATCGCAAACTGGCTATGTGGAATAATCTAAGGCACGTGACTCCTACTTGAAAAACCTCACAATAAAATCGAGATCAAAAACGGAATTTACAGAGTTATCGATCATCATCGAGATCACCATCACCATCATCTTCAATGAGAGTGGGGTATTACGCGAGACGGGTGGACACTAGACGCGAGAAGCAAGAGCGTCTGCCTGATGCCTCGCTTCTCACTGCTTACCACACCATCAACTTTGAAGATAAGTCAATAAACTAGCGGTTACAAGTTGTAAAATGTCATCTGAGAAGCGATAAACTGACATACACATTTTGCCAATTACGAACCCTTTTTTGGGTCAATTAATATTTGTGGGATAATGGACTACAAAAGAGTCCTCCAATCATCAGTTCTTGTGATTTGGGTCTTTATTGATCAATTTACAGTCATACGATCTTTGCGCGCGCTTCAACGTGCGAAACTTAGCGCAATTCGTGTTACGATTTGAAATTAGGGACTTTAGGATCCAACGACGCGGACGACAACGAGAACGTCAAAAAAACAATAGGTTTTATCAGCAAAACCACAATTTCGCACGTGCATCACACTTTCTTATACATCGCTTTCCCGTTTTTGCACGACTTCGACGTGAAAATGCCTAATTTCGTGTTTTATAGAGGACGTAAACAAGCAACGACGAAATTGTATTTCTTTTTTTGAGCTTTGCTATGGTCCCTTTAAATTCAGCTTCAGGAGGGTTCGCCTACAATTGACAAAGTAAGTGGGTAGGAATAATCGCTATAAAGACCGAAAGAACGCAAATTCACTTTTAAAGCGACGTTCTTGTCGCCGTCGCGTCGTTGGATCATGGATAATCTATGGTTGGATCTTAAAGTCCCTATTAACTTATGATGACACCGCTGGACATACTTACTAAACATCATCCAAACCAACATAAATGCAGATTGTAACGGTGAAATAGCGACACGACTCCCAGAGAGTCACAGGAGACCCAAACATTTGTGTTCTGCTCGCCTGGGGGCTCGTAGTAGTAAGAGACTTTTTACACTCTTTTTTTCCATCATTTACGTTGACTGATTGAGAGAAACTAAGTTGCACACTTAACAGGGGCACCAAACGTCAATTTTCAGAAAGTATGTGTTCGGAAGACGATTGGAGATCTAGAATTTTCGGAACATTTATTGTAAAATTCCCTGCTTGCCTGCCTCTCCTAGGATTTTCGAACATCTAAACAATGGTATAATTGCCCATTTTAACGGATTTTTACCCTAAAAAGGTGACCTAGAATTTAAGGGAGCCTTTTCCGGGCTGAAATTTTCGAAAAGGCAAAAGGTCCTATAATTTTCGGATGACTAGACTTTCAGCTAGGAAATCCGAACAGATGACAAAATTTTTAGGAGATAAAAATATGCCTATATCTACCTTTTAAATACTAAAATACGTTCAACAATGCTGTTTTTAAGTGGTTTTGAACCATATTCTTATTGGGTGCCCCTGTACACTTAAGAGAAATATCTATTTATCAAACCTAAACTTACCCGGCAAAGGGTCTAATTAACACTTCATGATGCCCACTGGTTTGGTTGTATTTCACAGTAAAAACATCGTTTTCACTTGTCACATACACGTCCACTTCACCCGTGAACACGTCAACTGTTAAGCGAATATCCACATTGGTAAATCTTGGGTATATGCCATAGAAGATGCTTTGTCCATATGGCAGTGCTTGAATGTTGCGATCGTCGCCAGTTTGCTGACCAATGACAAACTCTTGCATTACATTGATTTTTCTGTAGCACTGTTGGCTGTTCACTGGACTTCCCATGAAGTTTTCCTTACATTTTGAACACTATTGACATTAAAACCTTTGTATTAGCTTGATAACTAACTTAACGTGTCACAGTATATCGCGTTAACTAAATGTAATTTTATTAAAAACCGGCGTGACAAACTCTTGCACGTTGTGTTACCTAAATGCATCGAAAACCAGCGTGACAGTTGTGCCTAACACTGCGTGACAACTCTTGCATGAACTTGCAGGAATTCCGATGAACTTTTTCGTAAATATTTTGAGCACTATTGAAATTTTAAGATAAACTGAAAAACCTTTAATTAGATTGATAACTGATCTAGCGTGTCACAGTATGGTCTCTTGGATGCTCGTATAGAAAAACGGCGTGACAGAAGCTGTACGCTGTTTTAAACAATTTTTTTGAGGGCAAGTCGGCGGGCGAACGTAAGGAAAAGCCAAACTCTTACCCAGTCGCTATTTATGTATTTTTTTGCAGTGAGGGAAGATTGGGGTTGAGTTGAGGTGCGCGGGGAGTCATGGGAAGGGAAGAGGAGAAAACAGCGATCATATTGTTCCTTCCCATGACGCTATGCGCGCCTCGGATCATTATACGTTTCTGGGAAACTGCCCACCTACCCCTCCCTTAAGCTAACATTTTGCCCTACGTGAGTAAGTGTTAAGGTTGGCTTAGGGGAGGGGTAGGTGGGCAATTTCTTGTACTCCCCTCACCCCAAATACACATAACTAGCCACAGGGTATGAGTCTGTGGTAAAGCTAATACAGTTTTGCCGCTCATATGTTACCTAGTATGCAGCGTTCTATGCAAGCAACCCTCTAGTGAAACGGACACACGTACCTGCCGTTTGTAGCAGTCTTTAAAGCTAGGAGAACAATCTTCCTCAGTGTTGTTTCCGCACTTGCAGGTACCCTCTTTCTTGTCACACGTATCAGCGTGTCCATTACACAAGCAACTAAAGTGAAACAAGGATTGTTAGAAGGAACATTGGCGCT